CTCCTCCTCCTCCTCCTCCTCCTCCTCCTCCTCCTCTCTCTTGCCATCTCTTGAAGGCCCACCTGTTACTTCCGCTGGATCTCCGCTGGAGGAGCTGCCCCCGATTTGCTTCCGCCGCCAGTTGCCGATGGAGAGGTGGCAACTCCTTCGATCCTCGAAGGCGGGGCGGGCCTCTATCTGGGGGGCGAGGGGCTCCTCCTCCTCCTCCTCCTCGCCCTCCTCCTCCTCCTCCTCCGCCTTCTTCCTTCCGAACCGCTTGACGGCGCCGCTCGGTCACAGGAGGAGAAGGAGGAGATGGATGATCAGGAGGAGGAGGAGGAGGACGAGGAGGAGGAGGAGAAGGAGGAAGAGGATGATGCTGATGATGATGTGCTGATGGTGATGATGATGCTGCTGATTAAGATGATGATGAGTAGGAGGAGGAGAAAGAAGAGTAGGAGGATAATGAGGAGGAGGACGATGATGATGATGATGATGAGGAGGAGGGCGAGGAGGAGGAGGAAGAGGAGGAGGAGGAGGAGGAGGAGATAAGGGGGAGGGAGGAGGAGAAGGAGGAGGAAGCGAAGAGGAGGAATGAGGACGAGGAGGGGAGGAGGAGGAGGAGGAGGAGGAGGATGATGATGATTTGAGATGATGATGCAGATGATGAGGAGGAGGAGGATGAGAAAGAGGAGGAGAAAGAGGAAGATGTCAGGAGGAGGAGGAGGAAGGCGAGGAGGAGGAGGAGGAAAGAAAGAGGAGGAGGATGAGGAGGAGAGGATAAACGGAACAACACCATCAGCTCGAGTTCGGCAACGTCTACAGGGAGAGGGGGAGGAGGAGAGGAGGAGGGGGAGGAGGAGGAGGAGGAGGAGGAGGGGTGGAGGAGGAGGAGGTGGGGGGGACGGGATGAGGAGAGTGAGGACCGAGGAGGAGGATGAGAGTATGAGGATATGGTATGAGGGTGAGGAAGAGAGGAGGTGGAGGAGGGATGGAGGAGGAGGAGGAGGAGGAGGGAGAGGATGGTGCAGAGGGAGTAGGAGGAGGAGGAGGAGAGGAGGAGAAGGAGGAGGAGGAGGGAGGAGGAGGAGGAGGGGAGGCGGTGGAGGAGGAGGGGGGGGGGATGAGGGGGTAGGAGGAGGAGGGAGGTGGGGAGGAGGAGGGAGGGAGGAGGAGGAGGTGGAGGAGAGGTGGAGGAACGAGAAGGAGTAGGGGAGGAGGGGGAGGTAGGGGGAGGAGGAGGAGGAGGAGGAGGAGGAGGAGGAGGAGGAGGAGGAGGGAGTGAGGAGGAGGGAGGAGGATAAGGAGGAGGAGGTGGAGGAGGATGAGAGGGAGGAGGAGGGGGAGGAGGAGGATGAGGAGGAGCATGATGATGAGGAGGAGGAGGAGAAGGAGGAGGAGGAGAAGGAGGAGGAGGAGGAGGAGGAGGAGGAGGAGGGGGAGGGTGAGGGGGGATCGTCACGGGAGGGGCGAAAGGGGTCGGTCTGCTACAGGGGTGGGCCGGGCCGCCCCTGACAGAAGGGCGGAGGGCGAAGGGCTGGCCTGCCTCCTGTATGTGGGCAGGCCCAGGAGGAGGGAGGGCCCGCACGGAGGGGCCAGCGAGCTCGCGACGGGCCCGAGGGGGCGGGCCGCCACCTGAGCGGCGAAGGCGGGGCAGAGTCAGGCAGCATCGAATCGGGAGATCGAGTCGGATGGGAACGAGCGCCAGATCGGGCCGCATCGGCGGATGGGCCGCGCCAGGATGCACAACCACGCCATGCAGGCATCGGATCGTCGGAGCAATGGAATCGAATCGGATCGGGCTGGCATCGGCATCGACATCAAGTCGGATCGATCGGACTGTAGTGGGCCCTGGAAGGAGGGGTCTGGTCCGCAGATGGCGGCTGCACACCACCGCCGTTCCTGGCCAAAGCCGTCCTGGCCTCAGGGCGGTGCGCGTGTGCAGATGCCCTCCCAGCTTCGGCCCGGAGGCTCCTTTGGCCCTGGCCAGGGTGCAAACGCCTCCTGCGCAACTTGCGCGATGGGATGGCCCCATTGGCAAAAGATGGTGGTGGCAGTGCACAACCACCTTCCCGGACACCCGATGTCTTGATTCTTCGAATACGGGTTTCCTGGAAGTACCGACCCTTTCCCCAACGCAGCTTCTGCATCCCGAGCCGTTTACTGACAGCCCGGGGGCCCCGAGAGAGTGTGTGTGTGTGTGTGTGTGTGTGTTAAGATCTGTGCATCTAAGCGCGAACATATCTGGGGTTTGCGGATCCTGCGCGAGAGGATGCGGCGACCTCACGCGATGGCTCCGCGCAGGCCGCTGGCGCCGCGCGCCGCGCCCGAGGAGGCGAGTGGCTCGCGCGCGGCCCTGCACGTGGGCAGCCTGGCGCGAGCACTTTCGGGGCTGGCGGCGCGACCGCATGAACGACGCAAAGAAGCGGTTCTTACGCGAGATTGCACACAGCGGACTTGCTCGGTGGTTTACGCGGGCCGCGAGCGTGGAAAACGGTATATTAGAAACGAGGGCGCTTACTGTCGACCTTACGCCCGAATATCTGCGCCGTCGAACCCGTTTCTGTGCGTCGCTCGCATGCGGGCGCGGTTGGTGTCCCCACAAAAACTGAAGCAGGGAGGGAGAGAGGCACGCTTTGTCCGCCCCTCTCTGCCGTCTCTGTCTTGAGACCAGGCGGCAGAAGCAGCAGTCATCCAATATAGAGGTGCTGTGGATCGATCGCCGCATGCATGTGCTTATGTATGCTGTATCATTGTACGCAGTATTGGGTCACTCATGCACTTGCTGTGCTCGCATGCCGCTGACATTTCCATGCGAACCCTGAGGGGCCCCAGCAGGGGCAAAACGTTGACACGCGTGCAGAAAAAAAGGCACGGGCTTGAGAGCGCTACACGAGTCAGGTGTGAGGAAAAGGAAGAGGAATGCTCGCCGTTCCCGCCTGCTCGCGCCCGACCAGCAGGTCCTCCTCCGAGCTCGCCGCGTCTGTCCGGGTGGGCTGCATCGGCATCCCGAGGCGCAGAGTTTGGTGGGCGAGGCCCCCTGGGAGGGACTGGCGGATGCTCGATCCAGCTTTGCCTGGAAGGAGGAGGATAGGAGGCGAAGAGGGGGATCAGGAGGAAACTTGGGATGATGCTGATGATGATGATGAAGATGACGATGATGATGATGATGATGATGATGGTGATGATGATGATGATGATGATGATGACGGTGCTGCTGCTGATGCTGCTGCATATGATGATGATGACCATGCGGATGCTGCTGATGATGATGCTGGTGACGTTGATGGTGATGACGATGCCGACTATGATGATAATGATGGTGATGAGGATGATGGTAATGATGGTAATGACGATGGCGATGAATGATTGCAACGACGACGATGGTAATGACGTTGCTCCTGATGATGTGGGTTATGAGGGTGATGCTCATGATGATGATGCTACTGTTGATGCTGATGCTGATGATGATGATGATGATGATGATGATGAAACTGATGGTAATGATGATGGTGCTGCTAATGATGGTGAGGATGATGATGCTGATGCTGATGACAGATCACGCGAGGAGCAAGCGCCATGCCAGATCCCCATCACCAACGACGAGGGCACGATGGACAGGAATCCTGACATTAGGGTCGTCGGGGCGAACACCCAGCAAACAACTATTCAAACGATCACCCTTGTTCGGCTCTCGACGGAGTTGGGGTGGATCGCAAGGCTGCAGCAGGCCTCCACGAGCCGCGCCTCGTGCACAGGTGGTGCTGATTGTGCTGGTGATGATGATGCTGATGGTGATGATGAGGATGAAGATGATGATGCTGATGGTGATAATGCGGATTATCATGGTTATGATGATGGTGACGATGCTGCTGATGATGCTGCTGGTGATGGTGCTTATGACCATGATCATGAAGCTGATAATGATGGTGATGTTGATGCTGGTCACGATGCCGACGTTGATGATGATGCTGATTCGGATGATCGTAGTGAGAATGATGGTAATAATGCTGACGATGGCGATGAATGATTGCAACGACGACGATGGTAATGACGATGCTGCTGCTGCTGATGCTGATGAAGGTGAAACTGATGATTATGATGATGATGCTGTTGGTGTGAATGAATATGTGGTTGATGATGATGATGATGATGATGATGATGATGATGATGATGATGATGATGATGATGATGATGATGATGATGATGATGATGATGATCGGAGCCGAGCTCGGACCGGGCGCCGCGCGTGTCGAATGAGCGGAACGAGCGAGGAGGCGGCCCAACGACCCAGACGAGCATCGCGGCCAGGGCGTCCATTCCGCGCCTCAGTGGAGCCGACAACATACATGACAGTCGAACGCGAGCAGATCACGCCAGCAATAGCCATGCCAGAGCCCTATCACCAACGACGAGGGCACGATGGACAGGAATCCTGACATTAGGGTCGTCGGGGCGAAAATCCAGCAAACAAATATTCAACTGATCGCGCCTGTTCGGCGCTCGACGGAGTTGGGTTGGACTGCAAGGCAGCAGTAGACCTCCACGAGCCCCGCCTCGTGCATAGGTGATGATGAGTATGGTGATGAGAATAAGGATGATGATCCTGATAATGATGATGATGATGATGATGATGATGATGATGATGATGATGATGATGATGCTGCTGATGCTGATGCTGATGCTGATGCTGATGATGATGACGATGATGCTGATGATGATGATGATGATGATGCTGATCATGATGATGATGATGATGATGATGATGATGATGATGATGGCGATGATGGTGATGCTGATGATTCTGCCGCTGACGATGATGATGACGATTATGATGATGCTGCTGATGATATTGATGATGCTGATGTTTATAATGATGACGAC